TTTTAAATAATATCTAGTTATTTTTTAATAAATTAAAAATGTAAAACTAAAAAAATTAAGTGTTGAATTTTAAATTTTAAAAACCTAAATACTAAATTCTTACTATAAAAATCATTTGATATTTTATTAAAAATTAAATAATAAATAGATGCACTGCTGATTTGTTATTAAATATTCATCTTAATGAAATTTAGAAAAGAAAATTAAATATTAAAATAAAAATAATATAAAATAAATGTAATTAAATGATAAATTATTCCTTTCTCAAATAAGAATAATTAAAATCATTCATTAACTTATAACTACTTAAAATTTTCAAAACATTTTTCATTGAAAATCTTTTATGTAAGTTTTTTTTTCAAATGAGTTATCAATTTTATTGAAAAAACTTGAATCATTAAAATTTTTTATAATTTACATACACCTTTTTGGAAATAATAAAAGAATCAATAATTAGTATAAAAAGTTAATCGTAACTTCAAAGTCATTATGAAAAATCATATTTAATTGACTTAGATAATAAAAAATTAGCTACTTTAAGCTATATACATAAACAATCTAATTTAAAAAATTAAATGAATTTAAGTATCCAATCACAAATAATGTATCAATTTTATCATTTAATCGTTTCAAATTATATATATATATATATATATATATATATATATATTAGAGTGAAACTTGCATTCCACTGCACTTTTTTTTTCATTTGAAATTATTAATATAAAAAAAATGAATATGTTATTAATAAGTAATATAGACAATTATATATGGTTTTAAAATAAGTTTTTGAGCTAAACGTGGACAATCAACTATTTAAATTTTGTTATGAAAATTGGTGTGGTGGGTCCTAATAATTTTGAGTTTATATATATATATATATATATATATATATATAGTTTTTAACGTTATGAGTTTGAAATTAAATTAATAATCCTCAAATTATTTTTAATACCAAAGGTAATTTGGTTTTAAATTAAAAAAAAAAAAGGATAGTTTTAATTGTATGTATAGACATGTGAAAGAAATATAAAAGACAAAATATTTAACTAAAATGTAACTATTTAAAAATAAATTACTAATATTAATATTTTTTATATATTAGTTGGATTAGGGATAAAATCTACCTCTTTAGTAAATGAATCTCTAAAGAGATTATGTTGTGACATCTGTCTAAAATGATTAGTTTACCTTTTCTAACATATAAAATAATTATTTTATTTTTTAACCAAAATAAAATAATTTTCAATATAAATAATAAAAATTTAAATATATATTAAAATAATTTTACAAAGTGATTATATTCTGATACCTTGACACTTGTTTAATATTATAAAATGATCATTTTATCCTTTAATCAAAATAAAATAATCATTTTATCATAAATAATAAAAAAAATTCAAAATATATTAAAAGAATTTCGAATGGGTTATATTTTTAAACCTATTTAATGTTATAAAATAATCATTTACACTTTCTAATATTATAGAATGATTATTTTATCTTTTAATCAAAATAAATAACCTAAAACGTAAATAATAAAAAAAATGTAAAATATACAAAAATTTAAAAAATTAGATTTAAAAATTTTAAGTAAAAACTTATATTTGAATTTAACAATTTTAAAATAACACCAAACAATGAGGTGATGAAAAAAAAATTATCCTGCAAGAAACCATAGGTTAAATACTAATATCAATAATAACAAGTTATATGATCATGTAAATGATGACATGGCATAGATGTGGCAATAATATTCCATTTATGGAATAAAGATGGAAAGTATCCTATAAAGAATAAAGATTTTAATTAACCTTACTATCAAAAACCACCATACAAAAACTCTGTTTGATAATTAATTTTGTTATCTACAACATAAATTCAAGTTTTATAAACAAATATGATATTATTATTACTACTACTACTACTACTACTACTACTACTAATAATAATAATAATAATAATAATAATCTATTAAGTAATAAAAATTAAAAAGGTTTTGACTTGGTGAAATTTAGTTTGATAGATTTTTAAACTCAAAGATAGTTAAATTATTAAACATGTTATACTATATATCATGATTCTAGAAAGTAATCATGAATCTCATATTAATTGTGTATTAGCACCGACCCTAGGATATAAATGTTCATATTACCTTCAACTTGTGAAATGTTTTTTGTGACATAAAACTGTAAGACTTAATAGGTCAAAGAAGACAATATCTCATAAATTGATGTGAACTGTGACATTTGTTAAAAAGATTTTAAGAGTATTTGTTTGTGTCACCGAGGATGATAAGGGTTCATTAGAGTGGAGGACGATGTCATGGTCCTAAAGAGTAGTTATAAATCTCACATTAGTTATGTATCAAAGTTAGTATTGAGATATAAGTGTTTAAACCATTTAACTTATAAGACGCTTTTTGTAAGATAAAATCGTGAGACATAATGGATTCAAACAGATGATACCTCATAAGTTGTGTGGATGATGACACTGTACATGTGGAGCTAATAATGGAAGGGGAAATTTTAATAAAAAATTATTATTAGAATCATATATATATATATATATATACACACATACACTAGGTGGGGTATTTGTGTATTGTCATAGATAAAAAAAATTTTATTTTGTTATCCTTATTCATTGATTTTTTTTTATAAAATTAACCTAATTAAAAGAATAAAAGACAAAAAGTAAAAAAAAAAGGGGATGATACATGGATATCTCAACCAACATCACATTCTTACAAAATGTATTTAATAAAAAATTTTAAAAAATAAAAAAGACAAAATTAAAAAAAATTAAAAATGAAAAAAAACTCATAATAAGTGTCATATGGACACCTTTATTGAGTTTAAAATATTAATTTCTTAAATTAAGTTTAAAAATATATGTAATTAAATTAATAATAAAATATATACTTTCATATATACCTCGAAATAAGATAAGTCAAATCATTCTAAACATGCTTTCATCTTGATCTCATTTTTCATAAAAGATTCGACATATTTCAATTCAATCTTGATTTTAAAAAATAAAAGAAACAAAAATTTCTCAATTCGTTTTTTAACAAAATCATTTAAATTAAAAATTAAAAAAGTTAACAAAAAGAAAAAGAAAAAGAAAGAAAGAAATATAATGTGTCACATTGACTCATTGAATAAGGGTGAAATAAAAGTCAAAATAAGCAAAATTTATAAAATTGGTGGATGAATGCATGGATTATATTTTAATTATTTATAAATGTAGTATTTTTATCCTTAAAAAAGTTAAAAAAAAAACAAAAAAAAAAGCCTAGTTTAAAGCGGATCTTTTTTTTTAAATAAAATCTATCAAATATTTATTGAATATTAAAAACTTTTGATAGAAAAAAGAAAAAATAGTAATGTGACTTAAATTTTGGTCATGTAGTCCTTAAATTTTGGTCATGTACTAAATGACTAAAATTTATTACATGACCAAAATTTAAGATATTTATTAAATATTAAAAACTTGCAAAAAAAAGCCAAAAATGGTGACATGGCTTAAATTTTAGTTATGTATTGTTCATTTGTATCTTATCAAAATTTAAGTGTTGGATTACGTGGATTGCCCATGCATTCCTAGATAAAATTTTTTTTATTGTTTTGCCATCTCTATTTATTGATTTTTTTTGTTGTAAAATTTATCTAATTAAAAAAAATAAAAGGTGAAAAATTAAAAAAAAAAAACAAACGGAGATGTACGTGGTTATCTCATTTGACCTCATATTTTTGCAAAATTTATTTAATAAAAAATTTTAAAAAATAAAATATAAAAGTAAAAAGACAAAAATGAAAAAAATAAAAAAAAAGTTTAAAAATTGAAGAAGAAACTTATAAGAATACCACATGGACATTCTATTAAGTTTAAAATATTAATTTCTTAAATTGAGTTATATATATCAATAAAAATTAATAATAAAAAATATATTTTTATTTATACTTCGAAATGAATTAATCTAAATTATCTTAAACACGCTATTATCTTGTCTTGTTTCTCACAAAAAATTTAATTTGTCTCAATTTAATTTTGATTTAAAAAATAAATAAAACAAATTTTTTCAAATGGATTTTTCTACAAATTTATTTAAATTAAAAAATAAAAGGTTGAAAAAAAAGAAAAAAATAGAAAAAAACATAAAATGTCATGTTGACACCTTTAACGAGGGTGAAATAAAAATCAAAATAAACAAAATTCATATAAAAGATGGATGATTGCATGAATTATATCTTAATTATTTATAAATATAATATTTTTTAATTTAAAAATCTAAAAAAGCTCAAAAAGAAAATTTTGGTATAAAGCAGGTTCTATATTATAAAAATAAAATCTATACAAAATATTTATTAAATATTAAAAAATTTTGACAAAAAGAAAAGAAAAAATAAAAAATGTGAGGTGACTTAAATTTTGATAATTTAATTTTTATTCATACATGATAAAAATTTAAATTTTAGATTTTGTAACTTCAACATTTATAGTATATTTTTTAAAAATAATAAAAAAAGACACGATAATTCTAATAAAAAAAGATAAAAGGATTGAGTTATGATATCTGATTTAACTTAATTTATTTAAATTATTGAATTGTTCAAAAATAGAATCCAACTTAATTTATTGATTTTTCGTTAAAGACTAATATCATGATAATTTTTAAATTATAATAAAATTTTCATTTGCATTAAATTAAAAAATTTTTTAATATAATATATAAATTATAAATTTATTAATTAATATAATATTCAAAAAATTATTTATTTATATTAACCAAAATAAGAATGATATTATTTAAAATTATATGACAATAACTCCTTGCCATCCATCTCGTATTGATCCTATGGTTATCCTTTTAGTTTCCAAATCTAACGGTCTAGATTATATGATTTTCAAAGCCTTACCTGCATCACCATACAACAAAAAATGTCTAACATGTACTTTCACAAGGGTTAGGTTAGATATTAGTTGTCAGACATAAAGTCATCGTAGGGTTTTGCTTACTTAAAGCTTGAGATTGAAGCCTTTTCTCTTACTCTTTCTCAGAAACTCCATTTGCCAAAAGCCAACGTCATCTCTTTATCTTTATTTCTTCTGCAGATCTCACTAAAATTCACGAAAGTCAAGGGTATGCACCAAATCAGAGATCAGATCTCCTTTGCTTTAATCTTCGTCAGGCCGCTTGGATATGTTTGCAATCGGCGCAGATCAATCGAAACAATCAAATCATCAAAAACAGAGCTTGGCAGAGTCAGATCTGCAATATAAGAGAACTTTGGATTGGTTACTATAATCAAAGAGTCTCCTCTGTTTTTGTTAATTTTTCTATCAGTCCTGTGGATACAAGTTGTGTCATAATTATGATCATGATGTAGGTCTGGTGCTTGGTTGTTTCTCTTTATCCTCTTATTTTAGTTTAGGGGTAGAGTTTTAATTATATTAACAAAAGTTGTAATACAATATCATGCAATACAGGTTGAAACTGGACACACAGTTATTGTTCATGCTGCGGTGGGATTGACGGGGTATATGATTCTGTAGTGGCTGTTCTATTTCCTTATTCTCCTCTTGCACAAAGCCAAGTGATGTAATTGATTTTAATTGTGTTGAGATCTTGTTCAGGATTAATTGGTATCGATTTTCTTTTCCCTGATTATTTGATTTGCTATAGTCAACTAGTTGAATAGTTATTGGTTCTTTGTTTTAGCGTTCCTACAAATGTGATGTTTGTTTCATGTAGTTTGATTTATGGGACCTTTTGTTTTTTCAAATTATACGGATTTTGTGTCGATACAGTTGAGCTACTGCCCTTAGTTAACATTGCAATTTTTTTCCTCTTCCAATCTAGTATTTTATCTGTTTACTTGTTAAGTGGATTATGTTTACTGCACACACACCATCAAGTAATGATTCAATGGAGCCCAGAATCTATGCTGTGAGAACTTCAAGTGTGAAGTGGTTTGAAGGGAAACCAATTTCACTATTTGGGATAGAAATTGAAATGGTTTAGAACTTTCCTCCTTTGCATTGAGAAATATAATCTCTAGCAAGCCTTAATTTATTACCCACTGAACCTATTATCCTCTCTTTCTTTACCGTGAAAAGAAGTTGATAATTGATAATGGTTTAAACTTTGTGAAGTTACTTGTTTATTTGATGGTAGTAGTTAGTTCATTGAATGGCTCTAAAACGTCTTTTTCAACAGCCATCTTTGTTAAAATTAGTTTGTTCGTGCAATTCTCTTATCCCTACTCTTAAGTTTTATATCTTTTTCTATCTAATTTGGGTTGGAATAGATTGCTGCATCTGGGCATTTCTTAGGGATTTTCATTAACTCAAATTTGTTGGCTGTCATTTTTGTTTACCTAGTAGTTTTTATAAACAGTTGTTCTTGCTGTAATTAGTGTGGAAAAGTTTTGATTTCAAATGTGGTTTTTGAATTGAGTAAATCTTCATGAGCTCTTAGTAAAGCTGGCCATTCACATGCTTATGCGATTGACTTGGACATATACAGCAAAAGATGCCTTGTTTGATGAACTTATCTAAATAATAAAAAATGTCTGGGGTAGGAAAGGCTAACCAGTCCAAGAATTCTTTGCAGCTGAATGATTGTAGAAGATCGTCGGAGGTTAGATACTTTTCCTATTCTTTGCCAATATTAAATAGTTGAGTTCATACTCTTTTACTTTGTGATTAGCTTGAATAATTTTGACCTGGCAATATTTTGATCACTTTGGATTTGGAACTCAGGTGAATATGAAAGGCCTGCATCTGGTCTCCTCTCCATCCATGAATTCCTTTTAAGGTTGATGGATGGAAGGCACAGAAAGGGCCTCAACCTGAGATTACTTTTTGTGCCAAGCCTTTAAGAGCAGAAACATTTCTGGATCCAATGTGCGACATCAATTTCACAACAGGACCGTTACAAATAAAATAACTAAATTGAATGAAGTGTCCAACAATTCTTCCCGTTATAGCTCCATTACTTGCAACGATTCCTCTGCTGTTATGTCAAAAGGATCTAATGCTACTAATCCATCTGCTATGTTCATCGATTATGCTGAATAAGACAAGTCTACAAAGGGAAATTCATGAAAGGAGGCAAGAAGGAAGGGAAAACATAAATAGAAGCATTTATGTGATGTTGGCTCCAGAGAGTCAGAAGTTTGTTAGAGTATACCTATGGAAGTTAAGCATCTGAAATCTGTGGTAACAATGACATGAACTCTGGATGACATGCAACTTTACAAGAAGTTTCACCATCCGATGGTTTGCTTAATATAACTGATTTTGCAGGCAGCAGCAATGGTATTTTTACAAGTTTTCAATCACCAAATGTATACACCTCTGACATTGATGAAGTGGATATACCTGAATGTATTGTACCTTCTCAAGTTCAGAAGCTTCCTAGGGAGCATCATACAAATAACTCTGAAATTAGTAGGGAAGACCAGTTTCTATAGGTGGAGAGGAGACATCCTTCACATATGGGTTTTCTTATAGATTTACATGAGAAGGATTTCCATGATATGCATGATTCCCTAGTGTTGGACTCAGTTTCTGTTGGTTCAAACGGTGAAGACGGTGTTAGTGCTGGTCATATTGTTAATCCATTTATTGGCAATAGCAATGAAACCTTTCAATCAGATTTACCAGGTTCCAATACGAAGAAGGGGTCCTATTGTCAAAACTTGTTATGTATATTTCAATACGAAGAAGGGGTCCTATTGTCAAACCTCATTATGTAGCATTTCAGAAAGCTGTGATTTTAGTGAGGGAACCGAGCATGGTCTGGCTTGTAGCACAGCTTTGATGGACGAATGGTTGCATCAGGCAAGAGGGGTAAGCAGTGTAAATCTATTCATGGGAGTTCAAGTACTTGCAAACTTGGAAGTATAGAGAACTTGCATGGTAGAACGCATCAGGCAAGAGGGGTAAGCAGTGTAAATCTATTCATGGGAGTTCAAATACTTGCAAACTTGGAAGTATAGGGAACTTGCATAGTAGAAGGGGAACAGAGAACAGTCATTCTGTTTGTTAAAGGGTTCAGAGAATGCTGTAGAGACATGCAACACTGGGTTGAATAAAACAGATCCCATTTGCTCACAGTTTGATGTTACTTTAAAAGATGATCCATTGCTGAAAAGAAATTCTAAAGCTGCCAATGTAAACCTTACCTATTACTGATGACAAGAAGAAGTTAAAAAATAAGGTTCATAGGAAGTTGAAAAGACAAGTTAGTGCAGCTTCAAAACAAGAAAACAGCAGACATTCCAGGAAGGAGTCTCATCCCAACAAGGTAAACTTAAATGCTTATGAAAAGGCTAGCATGCCAAAAAGTGAAATATTAGATGTTCAAACTTTTCTGGATGACCATAGAGTAATTTAAAATTTTTCAAGGTCTTATTCTCAGCTTGGTTGTGAGGATTTTGACTGTGAAATCTTAATCAGTTAACGAATTTAAAGTTGGTCCAAGCAGGATGGAACCATGTGAAAGTGTCTGTGTTACTGCTTCTGGTTTTAATAATCTAAATATAGAGATTCAAGACAGCTTATTGCAAATGCGTCCCTTTGGACCAGTCAAATTTTCTTAGGTGAGCATTCCAGTTTTTTGAGGTTTGTGATACTGATTCCACTTCAACAAACTCTGCTAATGTCATTCATCTTTCATTATTTTCAGATTTTCAGTTCTTGTTCCAAAACCAAGCATGACTGAACCATTCAGAGGTTTGAATTTGATATTAAAACATGAAAGGTGCCTATACCTATGTGGTTCTTCTAATTTTGTCTTCCATGTTTCCTTCCCCTTGGAGCAGCAGCTCCGGCAGCAGGAGGAGGAGGTGGATTTGGAGGTGTATCTCCAGCATGGGGAGGAGGAGGATTATTTCCGGCATTAGGAGCTGGATTTTTCTGTTAAGATGAGAGATTCAGTTAAAGCTTTCGAATCAAACCTAAGAACTGAAATCAAATGTTAATAGAAATAATCTCTTGAGCTTAAACTTCGACTCTGCTTTACCTGAAGACAGTTAGGGCAGTCGGTGGATTGGTGACACTTATAGGTCGGCAAGCCCTTTTGCATTTTTGATCTTATTGCCACATCTGGAGCACTTCCAAGTCATTGTAGTTGGTTTTGCAGCATGGTTTTTTCTTTTCTGAGTTGAAGGGCTTGTATCTCTTTGTACAAGTGATTTATAATTTCATTACTTAGCCTTCCAATTGGGGAAGGATTCATGAAGTTAAATAATGGACTTAAAGCCCTATTTAACTTTGAAAGAAAAGGAATAAAAAAGATGTAACATTGCTTTGGTTAAGAATAAAAAACAATTGAAATTATTTGAATCAGGGCATTCGTTATATATGTATTATTATTTTTAAAATTTCAATAAAATAAAAAATATATTTCATTTATAAAATTATGCTAATTTAAAGTAGTGTTAGAAAATAAATTTAAAAATTAAAAATTAAAAATCAAATAAATGTGGATGTTAAAATTTGATTTGAATTAATTTAATATCTATATGATTTAATTTAATAACTTAAATATTGTAAATTAATTAATTTTTTGTTTTTCAAATCATGTTAATATAAAATCTTATTCAACCTCTTCATGTCATGGTTACTATTTCAAGGCATGTAATTATTTTGCCTTATTTTCAAGTTGTAATTTTTTTATTTACAAAATTAACCAAAAAATAATTGAATTAAATTTGATAATAAACTATAAAGATTAAGATTAGTATAATGTAAATGATAATTTATTTAAATTTTTGAAAGATTGGAAACAACTATTAGATATGAAAGTGAAACAATTTTATATAGATATAAACCAAGAGCCATGTTGAAGGAATTTAATATTATATGAATATTTACTAGAAGGATTATCGAAGAAAAAATGATACTTTCTGATTGCGAGTAAGTAAAAGCCAAACGAGCAATTTTTGTCCCAAAAGTTTAGACTATAAATTTTGTTACTATTTCTCTCACGACAGTCGTTTTGGAGAATGATTTTTTTTCCAAACTTCGTATTGGTTCCTATATCTTGTCTTCAACTTTAAAACATGAATCTTTTGATCATCTTTTATAATGAGAATAGCTAACAATTCTTTTTCGTTTGCCACTAGATATGCTTAAACAATTGAATTGATATTACGTGATGGATAAATCATTTTATAGGTATCCCAATTATTTTCTATGTCTTTTAGATCAAATACTCTAAAGTTTCCCTTGGCATCCAAACAATATTATAATCCTATGTATAAAATTAAATTGCAAATAGATAACCAAAATTTTATGTTACATGAAAAATTATACATTTCTCGATTACCTTCTCCTAGTTTATTGAATCAAACCATCTTTCGATTCCTAGAACCAAACAATTTGGAGAAAGTGGAGAAGTAAAGAACATCAAATGCACCCATTGAAGCAGCTTAAGAAGTTTAATAATCTCTTTTGTTAAAGGATTAAAGAGAAATGAGTGTATCTCATCTGAAGTCATTAGTTGCCAGCCATACCTTGAAAAGCAGATTTCAACACTTAATACTTCTACAAGAAGGTCCAATTCGCAAGTATAATTATGCATGGGATGAAAAAATTGACTTTTGTCAGTATTATCTTTGAGGATTCAGAACAACCATGAAAATGGAGAATTCGCATCATGATCGAATAGAGAAGGAAATGGATGTGGTGAAGCAATGGGGATTGATCACTATGCTTTGCAAATTGCACGAAAAATTGTTTTGTCCTCTACGAAGAGATTTGATGGTATCAAACTTAAAATATCTAGTGAAAAACTACTCCACACATCCTGATCGTCATTCACTTGATACTCTTTGGATGATAACAAATCTTTGTTTTATATAGTTGCTATGGCATTTACAAAAAGGTTAACAAAAATTTTGATTACAATATAAATTCATACATATCTTAAGAAAAATCTAAAAATTCATTTAATACTTAATTTGCAAAGTATACAAAATATAATTCTTTTTACTATAAATTCCAAATTTAAGATTTTTTTACGTCAAAATTTTTCACAAAATTTCAAATATTAAAAAAACAATTTACAGGAAAAGCACCTAGAATATTTGTGTTAAATAAAGAATCAACCGTCAAGGGAGATCATTGGCATTAGGTTAAGCTTTGCACCACCAATTAATGTTATTTTCACTAATTAATATTTTCATCTATTAATGTTTCACCACATGTTTTTACTCCTTATTTATTTTTTAAATTCCAATAGAAAAGAAGAAGAAAAAAAAATTATATGTCTTCTATGGGCACCATCAGGAGCTCGCTAGACTTCCTCTTTGTTTATAATACATTGTAATGTAAGCCTCGGCCAGCCCCTATTGTTTTTGCAGCCAACTATACATCAGCAAGTATAAAAAAACAAAGCTCTTAAGGCAACTAAATTTTAGTTAACTAGCTACCTCAATTAAATTTGCATAATTAGTATATCGATTTAGTAAAATTTTCTTTTATAGGTAAAGTGGAAACTGAGAAATTAATCAAAAAAAAAAAAAAGAAAAAGCTAAAAACTATATCAAGCATAAACTTCTAATGAAACATAAAAGCGAGATGTAAGTTTTTTTTCGTCTTTTATCAATTGATATGAAAAAATAATAACATTAATTTCACTTTCCAATAGTGCAAATCAAGCACAGAAAGAAAATTAAGGTTGATAGTGATCATATTTAATAAGTAAGAAAGATATATAATAAATTGCTTCTCTTCTTAAAAACGAAATGCCTTCAATCTCTCTTTTGCTCCCTTAATTAATTCTATTCATCGTTACCAAAAAAACCTGTTAGCAAAATGTGTGATGCATGAGATTAATTGAATTGTTAAAGGTGAAATATTTCAATTATAAAATATAAGTTTGATTTTTTTATCGGTATTTGCTTTAGTAAATAAACTGTTTATTGCAAGATGCACTGCAAAAGGCTTGTAAATTGAAGTGTTTTGTACATAGCATATCACTGTTTCATGCTCCCATTTTAACTTTACATGTCATCCTTCAAAATTGGATTCTCTGACGATGAGATATAAATTGATAACAATTATCATATGAAAATACAACAGTAGATAATTCGATAATTTTAATAATGATATTTATATTTTATTTTGTTAAATCATGAACAAATATGAGACAACCTTCAAATTTTTTTAAGGCCCTTTATATTTTTAACTTATCATATTGTATTACATTCACTAATGAATTGGCTCAATTATCATAAGTCATAACGATGCTCAAATCAGTACAGAACCTTCTTAGGGTCACAGATGGGAAAGCTTACACCAAGAAAAGTAATAAGATTGCTAATTTGACTCTAAGATTATTTCCAGCTGACAGGATACTGTGGAGAGATTTGACTTAACTTTTGTTATGAGAGATCGTGACCATATAGAATCACTAAGGTGATACAAAGTAGGATATTCTTATCATCTATAGCTCTATCACCCCCATCACCCATTTCAATACCTCGTGCCAAATACCTTCTCAAATATCAGCAAAGTTTGATATTTAAAACTCCAATAAGTGTACAGCTTCTTTGAGAAAAGATAAATCTTAAAAGATTTCCTAATAAACCATAAAAGACTCGATCAATTATTGACTTCAGTCCGCTTTAATAAATTGCCCAGAAGTACATACTGGTTTATTTGAACTCTCATACTAGAAACCTATTCAGCCAATTTCATAACATGTACAACACAAGATCCATTATTTAGTACAAAGTCTCACTAAGTTGGGAACTTTGATGCGGTTCTTTGCCAAAGAAGTAAGGAGGATGTTAAAACTTCAAAGAACCACATAGGTAAGAATTTAGAGTGAACAGCCTGAGATACAACAATATACAACCAAGCTTATCTGAAACTCTAGGAATTTAATAGGTGAGACAGGCAATAAAAATGTCTAATCCCCTGTCATATGAATCTCAAATTTTCTCAAACACGTGCATTAAGTGACTTAATATGGGTAGTTACAGTCTTTGAACTCTTCTTAGGTCCAACATCACTAAGGCACAGAAATAATAGTTTTTAAACACGACAGATATCCAGATAAACTAAATAAAGCATACAGCCCAAAATTTAACATCAAACTAACAAAAGTTAGCAAGTTAGTATCGTGAAGAATAAATAGATGAACATAATCAGCATTCCTTTCTAAGCTTGTATGTAATTGTAATCACCTGAAAAGTTCTTAACAAGAAAATGCAAATACATTATACAAGTTTATTTGTCTCACTTGTGGTTTTTATATGTAAAATCATCTACAGTATTGTCACTTATCTACTCCTTTAGAATGACTTGACAGGGTGTCTCAAAGTAATATGTTAACCATTGTATTTATCTGACCATCCTTGTTATAGCTATTTGTGCAATATATCTCCAACTTGCATGTCACATAGTAGTGGAATATTAGGTTGCCTGACTTAATGGTTCTAGGTTTAGATAGCACTTCTATACTTGAGCTTGGACAATAGTATTGGCTCAAAGGATATTTGGTATTCAAGACCCAGCCCTTGCCCATATGGAAGGTTAACATTCTGCCTAATCTACGCCTTGTCCGTATAATATACTCATGGCATGACTTGAAATTTAAGAAGGAAATACAGCTTAATACCAGTTAATGATCTATTTTAAACTTTTACAATGGATTACTGTGTGCAAATTGATATTAATAGACCCATCCAATAACAAACTTTCAAATGTCCTTAAAACTTACTTTAAGAGATTTAGTCAATAAGATATTGGTTCTCACGAATAATTTTCCAGCTACCATCAAGAGTGGAATATTCAAAGGCAGAAACTTATTACCTATTAACTGGGCATACATGATGCAGCGTGTTATATGCATGTTTGGCCTAAATTTGCAGGACTAATGTTGATATACCATGTCTGCAATAAATCAATGAATAATTGCAAAAGATTGAGAAGATCTACGAAATAAACAGAAGAAACACTTCGAAATACCTGTGTACAATGTTGAGAAGACTGTAGCAACATTGAACTGTAGGCCCCTTTAGGGTTCTGTTCTTGTCTCCAACAACTACCCTCAGTGCACATACTTCATATATTTTATTGATGCCAACATCTTTCCTTTTCATCTACAGCAAGATAAGAACAAGAACTTCGACATCAGCAGGACATTGTAAGGGCTTTCCCAACAAAATAACAGTCAGATTGCTTGCTTATTTTTTAGTAAAAGATTTTAGAATCACATTTTAATTCTGGCTTAACTGACAATGCATCTTCTGAAAGGCCAAGTTAAATTCTTCAAGGATACAATGCAACAAAAGGATTTTCAGCACAAAAAGTCTCTTATAT